TCGTAGCAAACCATTATTCCCAAAATAAAATAAGTTTTAGAAATAAATTAAGATACCTTAATAATTACAACCACACTTTTATGAAAATTCAAAAACACTTTTAGATTTCAGATATACACATCTCAAATATACTAAACATATGCATAAATGAACTACACCTTCATTTTGCAACCAAAAAAAAAAAAAAAGAAGAAAAAAATTCAAAAATATATTTCCAAAATTCAAAAATACATTTCCGTAGAATTTATTTTTATTATTCTTATTTTATCACTCTCCTTTGGTATTTGCTTCATCTTCCTGATGCTACGACCAACTTCAGGCAATTTCGTGGGTCCAAAAACGATGGCAATAAATCCAACCATAACAACGAGTTCGGTTACACCTAATCCAAAAAGCGTGTTGCGAGTGAAACCATTGTTTATTCTGAATTGCTTGCGTGGAGTATTTGAAAATGTTGAAATGGAACATAGATAGGTAGAGGAAGAAAAATAGGATTGTTGTGTTGAAATTGGAGAAGTAATTGAAATTGAAGAAGAAAACCAAACAATTATTTGGTGTATCCAAGAGCCTAAGCTCAAGCATTTTTTGTGAGTTTACAATAAGTTTATTAGAACAACTTTTAACGTATGGTTGTTAAATCAAATTTTTGTATATCTTACGTTAGTAATAAAGAATTTGTATTATAGTAGAGCTGATATGATATTTAGTGAACTAAAGTTTAGTTTCTATTATTTATATAGTTATCGTTAACTATTCAATGTGAGACATATTATAATATTATTTAATATTAATAAAATATTCCAATAACATTAAATTAATAATAATTTGAATAAAAAAATAAAATGTAGGGTCAAGATTTGGTTTCTTATAGACAAACATCATTAAAGTAAAAACTACTCAAATCAACTATAAATTTTTTAAATCCTATAAAGCACTTTAGGCTCACAAAAAATATCTTAATTTATCTATTTAGTTTACTCTCATTAAATATGTTTTTACTTGGATCCAAACACCTAACAAATTTTGGATAAAATGCATTTTGTGATTTTTACTTGGCGACATTATGTAATATACTACTCTGTTAACCGTTTATAAAAAAGAAAAAAAGGAAATATTTCACATTTATTAAAAATGTTTAAATTTTTGTATTTTTTAAAATACGTTTTATGAGAAAGATGTAAAAACAATTATGATTTGTTGTTTATGAAGAAAAAAATGAGCAACCATGATGCATTTTTTAGAAAAAATACTTAAATAAAATAAAATTGATGATTTTTCTTATTAAGAAGAAATGTAAGTGTTTTCTCTTAGTAACGGTTACAAAGGGAGAGCCATCTCCATAAATTGGACTTGTAAATAAGTAGAAAACAAAACTGAGAATTTTACCCCATACTCCTATAATTATATCCATACCTTTATATTAAAATTTTTTAAATGAGAATTTTACCCCATACTCCTATAATTATATCCATACCTTTATATTAAAATTTTTTAAACCAAAATAACATCGTATAAATAATTATAATTTTTTTGGTTTGTTTACCGAAAAACTTTAAGTATGTCTTCCGATTCATATTTTTTTTCGTTTGTTCGAAATCTTTTTGCAAGTCTTCCAGTTTATATTTTTTTCGTTTGTTCACCGAAAGTCTTTTTGCAAGTCTTCCGGTTCACTTTTTTTTTCGTTTGTTTATCAGATGACTTTTTGCAAGTCTTCCGATTTTTGTTTTTTTTCGTTTGTTCACCGGAAGTCTTTTTGCAAGTCTTCTGATTCATATTTTTTTTGTTTGTTCATCGAAAGACTTTTTGTAAGTCTTTCGGTTCATGTTTTTTTTTATATTTTTAATTTTTTTAATATTCAATTAGACAAATATTTTAATATGTTATTTATTTTTAAAAACAAACGGGTTCTCCTCCACCTCCAAATTTTTCCTCCCAAAAACATAAAAAGTTTAATTTTTGAGAAAAACTTTCAGCTGTTTTAACTTCTCTTTAATCACAAAATCACTCATCTCCTCAACCTCGATATCTCTCAACTTTTTGAACAAGCTTCAAAAACTCCTTTTTATATATCAAAATTTAAAGATTGCACAACAGTCTCTCCTATAATTGCAGTAGAAACTTTATCATAGACTAGAATGTATTATTTGTTAGTGAAAGTCGAAAACATCTTCATCTCCAAAAATATCATGTTAAATGAACAAAACTTTAACCATAGACAAAAATCTGAATTCTTCTCTGCAGACCTACACTTGATTCTTTATCTAAGAATAAAATGGAAGTTAAGCAAGATCACATTGTTGTAAAAATAAGTAGGCATAGAAAATATTGAAACAATTACACATGTAGAATTACAACAGCATCAACACTCCAATGAATTAGAAGGAGAAATCTAAAGAAGTTCAAAACTATTTGATTAGTATTATTTTTTGTCTAGTTGAATATTAAAAAAAAAATTAAAATTTAAAAAAAAAACATGAACCGCAAGACTTGCAAAATGTCTTCCGGTGAACAAATAAAAAAAATGTGAACCGGAAAACTTGCAAAAAGACTTCCGGTGAACAAAAAAAAAATATAAACCTAAAGACTTGCAAAAAGACTTCCAGTGAGCAAACGAAAAAAAATATGAACCGGAAGACATACTTAAAGTCTTCGGGTAAACAAATAAAAAAAATTATAATTATTTATACGAGAGTATTTTGGTCCAAAAAATTTTAGGGGTATGACGTAAAATTTCCAATAAAACATTAACGTACTTGTATCCAAAGTTTCAAATGTTCTAATTTTTATTTAACAAAAGTTAAGAATTCTAACACCAAATTACAATACTCATTTTTATCAAAGCTGCTTAACAAGTATTTGAATAGAATAAGCAAACTCTGGCAAACAGTTCTAGTCAGCCTCTCAAAACATCTCCCGCATGCCAACGTCACTTAAACTGAGAACAGAACATAGCCTTTCTTGAACGCTGACAACGAATCAAACAACAAAAGCTCAGGAGAATGACAAAAGTAATTTTCCAATTAATTATCTACCATTTTAAAGATGTGCTAAATTGCAAATCATAAATCATTTTTTGAATCTGAAATGCTTCCCATACTAGTATTTGCATTTCAGTGTCTAATCTCAGAGTGTAATCAAATGCACCAGTCCAGATCCGAAACCAAATATGAAATAAGGGCATGTTTAAGTTAACATATCAATTTAGCATATTTATCTTATAGTTGCTAATGTATAAACTATCAAAATAACATAAAAGAAAATATAGTCAAATTGATTTCATATACACTATAAGATGTTTCAACAAAGTATCCTCTTGAGCTTACTGAAATTAAGCTGAAAACAACTAAAACATCCTAAAAGGTGTTTCCATTAGCTTTTCCAAACATTACAATGAGAAAAAGATTCAAACTGATATTCTTTTGCATTACAATGCAGTAAATCAAGTTTATTATCCATATTCTCATAGCAACAGCATGTCTATACGACTTGACTTGGCACATTGTCAAGTACTAAGAAAAATATTCAAACCGATATTCTTTTGCTTGAATGATTTCTGTTTCCTAGTAGTATTCAGATTCTCCATACATTTGTAAGAACGTTTTACAGGCTCAAAGCTTTCAAACTAAGTTGACTCCTAGTGCTATAACTGTGCAAGTTTAACTAAAGTTGGGCATATGCAGTAAATCAAGTTTACTATCCATATTCTCATAGCAATAACATGTCTATACTCTATACAACTTCACTTGACACATGTGAATAAATAAGAAAAAGATTCACAAGATTCAAAAGGCAAAATGTCACAGCACATGCAGGTCTTGCCCGAGAAAACAGTTCGAGTCTAGAGTGATTTTAAAAATGAAAATCCTACTACCACAACTCATCCTTTCGCTAGGTAATCCATTTAAGTATTCAGGTTCCCACCTAAAAACTTAATTTTAATTCCATACTTTATGTGCTTAAAGTTTTGAATAGTAACTTAACTGCATAAGTCAGATATCAAAGCTTTGGTTTACATTGCATTTCAAAAAGAAATCCCCATAGAAAAACAAAGGAAAAAGAGTATGTCGAAAAAGTTCCTTCTATTTGCAAAGAACTCTCTCTAAAAAGCTTGAAGCTTTGAACACCTCCATTTCATTTTTCATCTTGAAGCCTTGCTTGTGTTTTTTATTAGGTTAAGCTTCACAAATAGTTCTAGTTCTATTTATCAGATGAAAATGACTATGATTGGTGCTGGTTGATCAATGTTCACAAAAAGTTTTACTTAAATGATTTGTCACTATATATAATTTCAAATAGAACATTGCAACTTTGTTAGACCTAGGTAACCAATCTCATTTAGTAGAAAAACACTTTAACCATTCTAATAAGTGACATATAGTATCATGATTAAAAAAAATAGTGGATCACTTATAAAATGGTAATCGAGGAAGTAAACATGGTTATGGGGAAAAAAGCTAAATGCTTGGTTGTTATAAATTAAAATTTATCTTGCAAACAGAGCAAGTTTGACAAAGATACTAAGCTGGCATATTTCACGAAGTTTCACTACAAACCAGTTTATCAAAAAAACATCTAAATATGAATTATTTTACCTCAAACTAAAATTTAGCCAAAATTAATTGTATCACATCAAGCTCATACAAAACCAATTTTACCAAATGCTCACCCAAACACACATATCTAATATGATTTCAAGGGAGTGCACTATCAGTGCAAACCAATTTTACACATGAATCCAATGAGAATTCACTATTCTAACATATCAATCCACTCTTGTAACTGAATTTTCAAATTAACAATATGATATAACAAAATTATAGATTCTCCTGATGTTAAGTTAGTACATGGAATACCCTTCATCATTATCCATAACTCATTTTGATTCAAGAACTTCTAATCCATTGCTTCATGTATTCACTAACATTTCATTTTCTTGCACCATTATATTGGAAAATTAAGAAACAAATGCAACAAAGAAAGCACAAAAAAAGCTCAATACCTTATCGAGTAGGAATCATGCCGGTTTTCCTAGCATAGGCGAAGATACCACCGGCTTCAATGACCGGACCAGCATCTCCAATCGGCTTCAACTGATACTCCTTTCCAGTGGTATGATTGATCAACCGATTCTCCTCGAGCTCAACCGTCACCACATCTCCCGTGTGACACTCCTCACACAACCTTGTCTCTGACTCCAACGGATACACCTCACCAGTAGCAACCGAGTTTCTGAAAAAGATTCGCGCGTAGGATTCCGCCACAACAGCAGCAGCACCGGAGGCACCTAACGCAACTGGCGCGTGCTCACGGGAGGATCCGCAACCAAAATTAGCTCCACCAATGACAATGGAGTATTTGGTTTTAGTCTCACCGGGTTCAACAAATCGGACGGAGTATGAATCGGGAAGTCCGATTAGGGCGAAGGAACCGAGCTTCTCGTACTCGTCGGGCTTGGAAGGGACAAGAGTAAGATGTTCGGCGGGAATGATCTGATCAGTGTCGATGTTGTCGCCGACGACATAGCAGAGACCATGGAAGGATGAGGCGGTGGTTGTAACTGCGGAAGAAGGAAGCGCGTGGGCGCGTGGAAATTGAGGAGAGGCGGTGATGGTTTTGCAGAAGTTGGATTGAGATGAGGGAAATGAAAGGAAGTTAAACGACGACGTAGAAGAAGATGAGAGCTTGGTAGAGGAAACGAAGGTGAGGTTTTGAGGAACGGTTGCAGTTGCGGAGAAAAACGCCATCGTTTTGGCTCTGCTAGCGTTGATCACCCTTTTTTGCGGCGCTTGTGATTTGGTTATTTTGGTTTATATACTTCACTAAAACGACTACGTTTGGAGGATAGTTTTGGTAGCAACCATTACAGCTTCCATGTCCTTTCTTTCTTGCTTTTTTTTTAAATTTTAATATAATTTTTATATAAAAAAAAAAGTGATATACCAGTTAAGATTAATTATGTGATAATTTTTTTTAAAAAGATTTATTATTCTCACATTGTTAAGAAAGTTGTAGTTTTTCTTTTTCAATTAATCTAGTGATTAATATTTACTTCTTAATTAAAAATAAATAAGTAGGATATCGCAGATTTAAATCTATGTCTTTTTATATGATATTCTTGTACAATTATCAACTGAGCTGCTAACTTAGATGATTTAACATGATTAAAACAAAACTAGTTTTTGGTAGAGAGAAAAACAAACATCATAATATTTGGTTAGATGTGAAAGTTAAAGTTAGAATGAAACATAGTCAAAAAAAAAAAAAATTACAATGAAACATATTTTATTACATTATAGTGGATGTTTACCTAGTAATGAGTCATGTGAGTTCTCAAAGTTCAAGGAGAATTCAACTTGGCTTTTAGGTAATGGTAAGAACATTAATTTCTGGCTGGATAACTGGGATGATTCAGTGGCAGTGCACAACTTAGACTAGAATAATTGTAATAAGGATTTCATCAATGATTTGCGGATTACATCTCTAATCAAAAGTGGAACTTTCCTCAGTCTCTTGTCATTACATCTCTAATCAAAAGTGGAACTTTCCTTTCATTTATAATCTTCTTCTTAACACTCACATTCCAATTGAGAAAAAGAAGGATGATTGTATTTGGAATTTGACCGGCGATTGAGCTCTCACCAATAAAGCAGCTTATTCGTTCAAAAGAAAATCGGCTCCTATTTTGTAGTGGGGAAAATTAGTTTAGAACAACCTCATTCCTCCTGCCAAATCTTTTCTTTTTTGGAGATTTGTTCATCAAAAAATCCCAACGGATGAAAACCTTGTTGCTAGAGGGATGAACTTTCATTCCATGTGTAGTTTTTGTTTGGCTCACATTGAAAATTATGTTCATATATTTGTAGACAAATTTCTTCAATCCTTTCTCATAGCATTTGTTCAATTAACGACTATTGGGAGGCTAGGTATAATCTTAGGTTCAACAACATCAGAACGCATTGAAAGCCATGGTCACTAAGGTTTCTATAGTGGGCAACGTCTCTCTTAAAAAATGCGCGATCTCTAGTTCGGATTACAATATTCTTGCTAGTTTCAATGTGAAGTTGAAACCTCCTAAGTATACTATTGCAAAAGATTTTCTTTGGCACCCTCCTGTTCTGAACTACGTGAACTGTAACACTGATAGTGCCTCTGCGGGAGTTCCGTGTGTTGCTGCTTGTGGTGCCATTTACAGGACAGTCACCTTGGTAGCTTTTCGATGAATATTGAGGTTGGAAATGCCCTCATGGCTATGAATATCATAGTGGCTATTGAGATTGCGAAAGAAAAATGTTGGAATAACCTTTGGTTAGAAACTGAGTCGAAGCTAATTGTTATTATGTTCAAGAAACCTTCTTTGGTTCCATGGAGACTTCGTAACATATGGGAGAACGTCTTGCACCATCCATTCATTTTTTGGTTTCACATATCTTTAGAGAAGGTAATTATTGCGCTGACAAGCTTGCTAACTTAGGTTTACATGTACATATTTTTATTTAGTGGGATGTAATACATAGGAACATTCTTATGAATTTTGCTAGGAACTCCATAGATCTTCTTTAGTATTGAATTTATCATTAAAAAATTTTGGTTTGGTCCGCTATTTTTGTCTTTATAATTACATATTCTTTTCTATATATATTGTGGTGCCTTTGAACCACTTTAAAAAACAATTCTCAAAGTTGAACTTATCCTTGAGTGAATAAAATATGATTTATCACCATGAAATTCAATATACCTAAATTACTTATGTGTTTTTCTCTTTAAAAAAATATATGTGCTCCTCTCTGTATCAAGGGTGTTAAATCACACTTTACTTGCGCAATTAAAAAATGCATGTTTGGAGAGGTGTTCATAAAAATGTTATAATCCGATAATAAAATTAATTATCATAATTGGAATTTATTTTATATAAATGATAATAAATCAGTTATTAATTAGTTATATATAATTAACTTTGACTTAAATTTTTTTTTACAAGAATGTTTTTATTTAAAAAAAATCTTTTTTTTATTTAAAGAAAAAATATTTATTTTCAAAAATAAAAAATCGTTTTTCAAAAAAATTTTTTTTTATCTTTTGAAAAATTAAATGTTTTCTAATTTCCTGAAATATTTGTTTTCAAAATTAAAAAGGTCTTAAAACATTAATAATATTTTTTTCATTTTCAAAAGAAAATAAAGTTTTTTTTAAAAATAGACTAATTTGATTTTAATTTTTGATATGGATGTCTAAAATATAAATTTGAATAACATATTCAAAATTTGATTAAAAGCATATTAATAATTAATCAATTTTTAAAAACCAGATTTGAGTATGAATAATTTAAATAATTAAAATAACCAGTTAATTAAAACAACCCTACGTACGCGTGCTTATTTGACTGACTCGAAACCTAATTTTCTTTAAATTCATACAAGAAATTATTAAAGTTCTTCTATAAATTACAAAGTTCATTTTTAAATTACAAATGATTACTAAGTCTTGACTTAACAAAAAAAATTATTTCTCTAACAATTAGTAGATGAATGAAGAAGTGCATCATTTTAAATATTTTAGTATTAAATATTTTCATGAAAAGTTTATTGTCCATTGTTTTTTGAATAGGCAAAAATAACATTAATAGAGAGTAGAAGGATACTCCAACCCTTGCACATAAAACACAAGGGAAAAAAAAAAGAGACTCAAACTATTACACCAATGCTCTCAAGTGGGACAGAAGCTACACATAACAGTTTTTCAAAATCACAGTGAACAGAGTACTAAATATGGGACAACGGTGACCGACACATAACAGTTTTTCAAAATCACAGTGAACAGAGTTCTAAATACGGTACAACGGTGACCGTCCCACCAGGTTACCAAACACAGGCTTACAATCCCCCAACACCAAAACAAACATACATACAATCAAGTGGTTATATGTGGTTATGTTTGCATTCTCGCCAACAGAATTTTGCTAGATTTTAGACAAAATATATTGCAGGTTATTTAGCAAAATTCTGTTGTGAAAACCTTAATGCAAACATTCACTATGTCTACAACTCATTTTGTACATGTCTTGTTTGGTTCTTGGAAATCGCCATCCGTTTGTTTAGATTTAACAAATGCAAAGAAAGAACTAAAAGTGTACATTAATCTGCATTATAAACATTCTAAAAATTGTGCCCTGTTGAATCAGGTGCTATGTATATTGTCTACCAACACATTCTCATTGACAAATAATCCAAGAAAAAAAAATGATGTATATTCTCCAATGGCTAGTCTAATATTAAGAACTCTAGTATTTCTGTGTTTGAAATTGCCTTTTAACAGTAAGCAGAAGTATTCCTAGCTACCTACCTGTTGTGTACTCATGTAAGATTCAAGCCTCCTATAGCATGTTACATCATGGATGATGCAGATGCATAATGCATGTATGCCAATCTCAATTTGCCAGTCATTTAGTAATGTTTTGCCTTCCCAGCACGCTTTAGATTAAAGGTATGAATTATCTCTCTAACATCGCTTTTAATGGAGAAGAATGCTGAGACTAGAGCAATAAAAATGGTTGGATAGATTTGAATACCCTTTGCATGAGTCAAATCCGATTTCCCCATGATATGTTCTCTGATCAGACCCAACATAAGAAGAAGTACTCCAAAAAGTCCCATTCTTCCTGGTTTTATCAGACCCAAGATTGCTCCTCCTACACACAAATAGCTTCCTGCAAGAACCTGCAGAAAGAACCCAACTTAAAAAATGAGTGCCAAAGCTAAATCCTTCAAAGAGGGGGTTGCTTAAATTCAGCTATGGAACTATGGAACTGTGATTTGCAGTTGTAGCCATTATTTGACAAAATTTTGTACTAAATAGGGCAATGCAGAAGAATATCAATTTGTTAAAATTCCGCTACACTTACGGGTGGGAATAGGTTGGACCGATTTAGGCTTTGCAAAACCAAAGTCTAACCTGCCAAAAACCTCAAGACCTGGCCTTAGCCTATCATAGACTTAGTTTTAGGCCTTACCCGGACCTTTTTCTAAAGCCTGATTTGACCGGTTAGCCTCCTTAAAAGCCTCTTTCATATAAACTTACTTAAATAACACTATCACTGCTATAACTACTATTTAACAATAAATTTGAAACATTTTTGTTTATTTTTCAGTTACTAACCAACCTCTAGTCGTTGGAGTTCCGAGTCAACAGAGATTGTCCTTGTATTGAAATTGTGCAACAAGTTTTTGTAACTTGGGATGGTTTTCTGCTTGAAAATAGCCTTTGCAACTGTTCCTGGGTAGATGAGAGATTTCACTATGAAAAGAGGAAAAACCTCACTTGCAATTAATTGAGAAGATGTCAATTCTAATGGTGTCTTGCAGATTCCGGTTCTGCATGGAACACTGAGAAACAAATAAAGCCTTTGTTAGTATCAGCACTATAATACAAAGAGAAGTTTTTATTCTTGAGTTATAACTGAAATAGGACTTGAAATTGAAAGCATTAAATCAGAACTTCGTTCAAGCTTTTGGAGTTAGTTATTGCTAGAATTAAACACACACACTATTAGTATATGACCCTGAGCAAGTTACATTGCAATTATGAATCCAATTAATGTCAATATTTTTTGGGGGTGAATAACGTCTTACATTTATTCATTCCACTTTGATTGTATGATACATTGGAGTTTGAGTTTTGTTTTGACATATGCTCAAAAAGAGAGAATTATAAATGTTGTCCTAGCAAATACTATACTAGGAGTGGTAAACCGGGATCGGCCCGATGAACATGTCTATTTTTCCCTCACTTTTTTGCGGGACACACCAAAATTTTAGGCATGCACACTATAATGTGTCTGTCTTGTTTTTTTTTCAATCTTTTGCGGGCACAAACATTAACATAAATTTTTGCATTTTTAAACTTTAGAGATGCAGTGCCTACATACCCTCCTTGCCCCACCTTCATTTTTCTGCGGAACAGACCTAACTGAAGCGGGCATTCCCGTTAGCCACCCTATACTACATCAATCACTTATTATAGGTTAACCAAATAGTTAAAATTAAGTGGTTAATGAACTTCCATTAAAAACAATACAAGTTTGAATCTTAGTTAATGTTTCCATAAGAACACTGAAGCACCAGCACAGACACCTTTAAATAAAAGCGTGTCCGGCATCCGACACGTATTAGTGTCAGACATGTTAATGACATGATTACATTCAATTTCAAATAGAATTTTGCATCTCAATTTGATAGTTGAGGGTCCCAATTGATACTATGTTCAATAAATTACACTTAACCACAAAACAGAAAACAAGTACACAAAACTGAAAATAACAAGAGAAACAATACCTAAATGTTGCACCAATGATTAACCCTAATTAACATAATATAAAATTGATTTCAAGAACACAACACTACAATAATCATGTAACTGACAGAAAAATAAATAATAATAATAATAATAATAATAATAATAATAATAATAATAATAATAATAATAATAATAATAAAATAGTAAAAAGAAAAGAAAAAGAAGAAAAATAATAAAAAAAGCTTTACACTTTTCAGAGATAGTGAAGAGTTAAAAAGAAAAAGGTGAAAGGGAAAAGATGATATACCTGAAAATGGGAACTTGAAAAATGATGACAAAGAAATAAGTGGAAAAAGCAATGATGGAAATGAGTTTTGCCAATCGCTTTGAAGAACCCATTGAAGCTATAGTAATTTTTTAATCGAAGTGAGGGAAAATTGATAACGGAGGTAACAGGTTTTGACGAGTTCAGTTTTTCGGTAAAAAAGAATAAAATCAAATTGACCTAGAATCCCTTTTCTATTTTATATTTTTTCTTTTGACAAATATTTTTATTTTATTTACTGCATTTATTTATTTTTTTTATCTTATTTGCTATATTTATTTATTTTTCGTTATAGGTTCAAACACGGATTAACTATGTAAGAAAAACGAAAAAAGATTTGATGTGGGGATTTAATTGTTGTTATCATAATATTTCTTAATTGATAGTTTATTTAGCTAGTTTATACTTATTGTACAACCAAATCAATTATATTATTACGTTTTATTTTCCAATGGCAATAACTCTTGAAAAGCTTTTTCGCAATTTTCTAATGGCAATAACTTTTTAAAAATCTTTTTACTTGTGAGTAGTTCTCAGAACTTGACTAAATAACTCACTCAAAGTAATACTTCATCATCGTTATATGTTATATTAAAACTATTAAAACATACATTTGAATGCTCATATTCTTCATCATAGGATTCCTTTCTTCTTTCCTTCATATCCATTCTTGTCTGATTTAGTTTGTGTCTTAAATTTTAAATTTAGTAAAAAATATTATTTATTTTAGGTTGAGTTATTCTTTTAATTCATTAAGTTATTTAGAAACTTGTAAATAGATTGAAAAACTAAAAAATTGTATAATAGCCATGTAACTAAACTCCAAAGAAATCAAAGGAAAATTTTGAGCAAATTTCAAATTCAAGCTCGGCTTAAATTAAACAGAACACTGTTGTTAAGGTATGAATAGTAAAATGAAAACTAGGGGACAACAACATTTGAGCACCTTCAAACATTTTTAGGTAAATACTGTAGAATTCTAATCTGAAAATAGAAAGAAAAATATATAATTGATGAAAAATATGATTCTGCAGTGCATGAAAAGGACTACCATCAGCAACAACCACCATAACAAGAAAAAAGGAAAAGTTACTTTCTAAAAAACTATGAACCCCGTCGATACTCAAGTTCCTTTGTGTTCTCCAGCAAAATCTGTCAACCAATAAAGAAGTCGAGAATTAAGGTAATGAAATAAATGTGAACTGTGTTTTTACTTCTATATGAATAATCACATAAATGAGACAGATTCTTACTTCTCGCATGTAGTTTGCAATTGCTTTGCAGCCTTCCGAAGCCAATTGCATAACATTTTCCAAAATGTCAATTGGTAGTTTAGAATCCATCTACATTATGTAACAAGAAATGAGTAATGCAGACAAAACTTCATGTCTATATAGTCCAAAAATCAAGTAAAAGCCATATTCAACTCAACACCGTCCACAATTAAACTATAGTTTTCCATTATAAATAAGACCCGGTACAAACATAAATAAACTCATCTTTTCCATGCTAATTTACCTGAAGAAGCGTCACTTTATCCAACTTTGGCAGAATTCCTACAGTTACATCAGGACCCCCAGCACTGTCTTCTACATAGTTTAAATCTGCCAATAATTATTCAGTAACTTTCAGTAATTATGACAAACCATGCAGTACTATATAAAAAAAGACAACACCTTTGTTAAATATCAAATTAAAATTTCTAATAAAACTAATATATATACCGAGTAGAGGGGTGCTATTGAGGTATCCAGCAGCACAGGAAGTTACAAGATCGCGCATGGGGATCCCAGCATCAGCTAGGGCCAAAGTTGCAGCATTTATACAAGCAGACCTAGTTCCTATAAAAGGCATGTTACGAACAAAAGTTATATAAAAATACAAGACCCGTTGTAAAGATTGCAACAATTAAAAGGAGAAAAGTTTTTCAAAAGAGCTCAAGAAAAATAAAATTTAAAAACAAGATGAGAAAATGATTACAAAATCCCATTATCAGGTATGAATTACCTCCATCAGCTTGAAGAACTTGGACATAAATATCTATCTGCAAATTAAATAACCAAATCATTGGAAAAAGAAAATACATAAGTTACACTGATTAAAAAGGAAGGTCCAGAGATTGTAATAAAACCTGGGAACGGGGCATTAAATGTGTTAATATGCATTCTTCCATGGTTTGTCGAATAACCAAAGAAATTTCAGTTGATCTCCTGTAGCATGAGCAAACTTCAGTTAAATATAGAAGTAAAAAAACAAGAGGTTGTCCCATCTCCAAGGATCAGGGAACCTTGCAAGAAGAACCAATTTAACAGACTCTGAAAGACAAACAAAATGAAGGAATTATTCATGGCTAAAACATTGAGCCCCAAGTCTCAAAAGAACAAAGGGAGAGAAATGGAAAAAAAAATGAACATGTTTTATTTAAAGAAAGAGAATAATGGAATGGACTCTCCTCCAATAGTTTCCCTTTCACGAAAATCCTACTTCCTCTCACAATACAACAAACAAATACACAGGACCTCTCTCCCATCCTTATTTCTCCTAGGTATACATGACATGACATCCCTTTCAACTCTTAACTTCTATTACTAACTACTTAACTAATTTATATCACATCTACCTAGTTAACTTCTCTTATTAAGTACATCACTGCAATGATAGATCCCTTATGATACCACTCCCCAAATATGTAGACCTTATCCATAATGACTATTCCCACAAATCATCTTTGCACCATGATTCTGCTAAAGTCTCCTTCAAAATTAGCTGGTCCCTAGTAAGGTTCTCAGAACTCAATGGCCAGTCATGCCTATTTCCAATAAGCCGGTGACATTTCAAGCTAAGCTCGTGTTATTGAGCCGCTCAACCAGATACTTTTCTAAAAGATAAGCTACTAATTTCAATACCTCTTTTGTATTTTAATTCCTACTTAAGCAAAGCGATAAAAAATGTCTAATTCATAATTGCAAGTTATTCTCAAGAGTGATTCTGTTATTGCACTGACTCTCGTCCTAATAGTGCATCAATACTTTATCAGTTAAGTATAAAGTATCAAGATCATACAAAAAGACTGGGAGAGTAAACGTAAACAAGTAAAAAAGAAATAACCTGTCACCCTTCGGTTTCCTCATGCGATCACCAGTGCTAAAATTAGCCATGCTGTATTCACATCTAACCTAGAGATGGAAAGAAGATTAAAAATTCAGTACATTGCATACAAATAAACTTTAAGTACACCCAATGAATTATATTATTACCAGAGCCTGGTCACTCAGTTGTTGGCTCCTATTTTGAACCTCTCTAGGCCCATATACAGCAGCAATCACTTTGGTATTACCCATCTCAAAAACGGCCGATCTGGTTTCACAATGAAAGAGAACTTTATGGTGAAATGCTTTTAACAAATTTACTACTGAATTTAAAAAATAAATTGAAAATTAGAAAGCATGACGCGTAAAGAAAAAAATACCTACCCATCTGCTTTTGATACACCACCAATCTCCGCTCGAATTTGTCTCATCTAGGATTGCATACAGGGAAAAAGATGGTAAAATAATTTTCAAAAAGAGAGGAAAAAAACACAAATCACATGTGAAATTCAAAAACGAAAAGAAAGTCCATCGGAGAAAAAAGAGGGAAAACAACATACTTCCATAGGTCGGCGACCATCCAAGCGAAGTCCTTCTGGGCTGACATACTCCATCTCTGAAATTCAAATTATTTTCTCTTTGTTACACTGAAAGTTGGAGCTTTATATATCTGATTCTGAACTAAATAACACTGGGCCGGTTTAACTTTGGGCCTTAGTATCTTCCACTCTATTTCTATCAGCACCCTTCTTGTAAAAATACCATTACGCTATTACGGTATATGTAACAATACAATTATATTTTAAAACTAAAAAAAAATAATTGTATCCTATATATTTAAAATTTTAGTTTATATTATTTTTTATACTTACCAACTTATACAATCTTTCGTAAATCATAGATCAATGGTCAAAGTCGATATTATTAGATTAAACGTCAATATTAGAGTTCGAATATAAAGCTCCTAATTGTGTGTGTGAGTTTTTAGTGGTTATTATCACTTCATCTATATCAAAAGAATAATATAACATAGTCAACTTTATCTAATATGTGTCATGATGTTTTATAATTTTAAGAGATTAATCTATCTACTAAAATGTTAAATATTTTTTGGATAGAAAGTTGGTGTAATCGATTATACCCTGACAACTTTGAAATTTTACTTGTTTGTCTTTCTTGACTCGAAGTGGTGTAAATTGTAATGGTAATCATTACTGTAATAATATGCTAAATTCATATTTAAATGTGATTGATTTAGCATGTGAACATGTAAAACCATAATTGGTTAGTAGAAAAAGGTATGAACTCTAGTTAGTTTAGCATTTGAATGTGTGAAATTTAATTGAATTACATAATTGTATATAAATTCTAGTCGATTTAAATGATTGTGTATTAGCCTTAATCAATTTGGTTCTTTTGTGAATAAACCCTCGTCGGTTCAAGTGATTGACAAAGGCAAATTAAATTCATTAACAAAGGCAAATTAAATTAATTAACATACATCTCATGACAGACCATAGCGTACACACTACAAGAAAAATTGAATTTAGGTAGGGGTTAAACCCCTCACTAAATCAAAAAATCCATCACAATACAACAATTTGCGAGGGGACAGAGCCCCTAGCTAATCAGGGCATCGCAAATAATTGGCTAGGGGATAAGCCCATCGCAAAAATGGCTAGGGGATAAGCCCCTCGCAAATTGTAATGGAAAAAAATCAGTCTGTTGCACCACAGACATAGACACAGACTAGAGCCATAGAGGGGCTCAGAAGTGTCAGATACGTTTGCAAGGGGATAAGCCCCTAGCTAAGTTACGTGGGTCCTGAAATTAGTGAGGGGTGAAACCCCTAGCTGTCTGTGTCATACATTTGCGAGGGGTTAAGCCCCTAGCCAACTATCCCACATTTTGGGATTTGCGAGGGGTAACCCCTAGCTAATAATTATAATATTTTTTTTATAGTTTATAAATATATTATTTTAATTATATTGTTATAATGATATTAGAATAATAATATAATTATATAATAAATTTTTATTACATTTTATATTTAATTATATTATTATAATTAGAATAATATAACTATATAATAAAAAAATATATATTTTAATATAATTATATAATAAATAAAAATGTATATTTTATAAAATATAATAATTTATAATTAAAAGTGTAATAAAAGTAAATATCCAAATCCATGACAAAAATAAAATAAAATATAAAAATAATATATAATTCATGACACATCTAGTCAACTTCTTCATCATCCTCCTCATCTTTCTTATCTCTTCTTCCCACACCTTAATTCATATGCAATGCCATAAATTATTCAAATTTCAATGCGCGCTCATTTGCAATCCGCATTGCTTCCTCATACTCTGTTGCCTTCCTCCTCAATTCTTCCTCCATCTCAGCTTGTCTTCTCTTCATTTCCTCCATCTCTGCCTGTCTAGCTACTGCCTCACGTGTTGCCTCGGTCTGAGCCAAATTTCTCACAGTTTCAAGCATATCATCGGTTAATATAGGTGGACGCGATGATCCTTCTCCATCATCAAGTCTCATCCTGAAAGTCCTATCACGCCGCTTAATTGTTTTGGCATACCCTCCAGCACCATACACCCTTCCATTTTTCCTCTTCCCGCAAGCAGTGATATCATACCAAGTCTGAAAACCTAGACAAGGATCAACAGGGTATCCTTGTGGTGGTGGAGGTAACTCAGGATGCTCAGATAAAGAAAGTGCAAGTCTTCGATCATACTCCTATAAAAAAAGTTAGATGTTATAATAATTTAAATAAGATGACTAAATAACATGTAATAAAAGAAATAAATAAAATGACTAAATTTTAGCAAAACTTACTTGAGTTTTCTTTGAGCGTTTATCGACAAACTCCCTATTTTTCTTGATATGAGTCTCTAGATGAATCTCATTAAGCATCGGAGTTCTACCCAACTCATCACGCTATTAAAATAAAACATATAAGTGAAAAAATAGTTTATTTTAATCTAAATTTTAAATGAAAATTTAAGTAAAATAAATAAAATTACCAGCCTATGTGCAATTTCAGCAACACTAATAGTTCATGTTGCATAGTTGCAGCCACCAACTTCAGATGCCCTATTTTTTTTTTCTTTTTCAGATACTTGCTTAAAGGTTTCCGAATTCCAATGGTCAATAAGTTGCTTAAATACATCTTCACATATCCAACAGAGACGTGTTCCTTTACTTTCTCATTTAATTCGAACACGTCCAAGCGTGTCGGATAATCGGGCAGCATATTTTATATCAAAATTTTCTCTTACTTGTTGCTGCTCTATAAAGTCCCAAACACATTTCTCCTACATTGTTTTATGAATTTTAAAAAATTAAATAATGTTAAATCATGAAATAAACTAAATATATAATAAATTAAATAATAGTTGCTTTAATACCTGAAATAAACTAAACAAATCTTCTTTTTCGGTTTCGAGAAGTGCTTCATATGTCGGCCAAAACTTTTTATACTTTTCTTTAATAACTTCTGTTATACACCATACTGTCTGGTGTGATGGTATAAGGCTAACCAAAAAAATCTTGAGTTAGTATTTACATTAAAAAAAACTCAAATTTAAATTTTAAAAAAATAATATATAAAACACACCTTCCTCCATCGCAACGATTGACCTAACTAATATATCATATTATGTTTCTACAAATTTACATGCTTTATAACATTTTAACTTACAAGTTATAGATTTATATGTTTCTACAAATATTATGTAATATGTTATTAAACAAATACTTATTAAATAAATATTATGTATTATGAAATATTATGTAATATATTAATATATATTACTAAATTATATTAATATTTTAAAAAATAAATATTTATTAAATAAAAATTAGTACCTTCTAAATAGAAAATGTATATATTACAAATTTTATACTTTACATAAAAAGTTTGTATATGTTACTTAAATACATTACAAATTATATATTTTTATGATTTAACTTATACTTTTTAAATAAAAGTGTATATTTAATATATATAATCTATTCTTTTATAAAAATAATATATAATATGTTTTCAAATTTAATTAAATAAATATTCTATTTTTAAAAATAATATATAATATGTTTTCAAATTTAATTAAATAAATATTTTGTTTTTAGAAATTTAATTAAATATTCTGTTTTTAGAAATTTAATTAAATATACTGTTTTATAATAAAATTTGTTTTCTAATAAACTTAAGTATATTTTAATATCCTATTTTAATAAACTTAAGTAGAATCTGTTTTCTAATAAACTTAAATTGTTTTAATAAACTTAAATATATATATTGTTTTAATTAAATAATATATAATACTAATATTTTAATAAATCTGTTTTATAATATAAATATAATACTAATTGATCTGACCTGATCAGAAAGGGATCACTGTCTGGCCACATCGGAGCTGAAAGATTCTTTATACCTTTCAAATTGATGTCTATCTCAGTATCAGAAATAGGAGAAATTAGAAACTCCCTCTGCTCACCAGTTAGCTGGGAGCCTTTCCTCATGACAACTATGTATATGTTGGTCAGATTTTTATTAGATTGCCTATGAGCTTCTTGTAGTATTTGATAATCTCTTTCTATCTCCTCATGATGGTAAAGATCAAACCCATTCTCATCCTTTAACTTATCAAGTTGGTTTTTCCTTTGTCTGATTTTCAAGGAAGCATGGAAATAAGAGTTATTCTCATCTCCAAGCCTGAGCCAATACACCTTAGATATTTGTTGAATGATACTCTCTTCAAGATTGCTCAGTCTCAAAATTTCATTGGTGCAAGTTTTGGATTTGTCAATGGCTTGAATATTCATTTTGTCCCTAAGTAAGTAGTCTTGGGTTGTAGATAGCTATTCTCTAGCTCTCCTCAACTATTAATTAATCCCATTGTAAGGTTTGCTAAGCTTTTTGATCATTGGTTGAAGCCTTTTAATATTTTTCCACAAAACAAACATGGGATTGCCAGCTAAAGGATATGCCCAACTTTTCTATACTCAGCCTTATTGATAACAAATTTTGGAATTTGAAAGGAACTCTGAATATACTCTTCACCTCGATATCTTGCAAGCAGAATAAGGCATGATCCGACACTCTGGTTCATAATGATGAGCTTAGATTCCAAATTATGCTAAAGCCAATTAATATTTCCCAGGACCCTGTCAATTCTGGAGTATATCATGTCATTCCTCTGATTATTACACCAAGTGAAGTGATCATCACAACCATCTTTTTCATAGAGACCAACTTGATCCATCATATCAATAAGATCTTTGTACTCATTCTCTGTAACCATATTACCCCCAATTCTGTCTTGAGCTCTCAAGACATTGTTGTAGTCACCCATAAGACACCAAGCCTCTGTGACATTGGCTTGGATGTTGGTCAAATCCTTCCAAAGGCCCTTCCTTTGTTCAAGGGCATTTGAGGTATATATAACGGCTAACCAATTTTTCCTAATTCCATTGAGGTGAGAAACACTATAGTGGATGAATTGAGTAGATATGGTATGAGTAGTCACCTTTATTCTAGTCTCATCCCACAAAATCCATATCCTTCCATTATTGTGCTTGTAATAATTATCAACCATTTTTCACTTTTTGCCAAACTTATTTCTAACTTTGACAGCATTTTAAGGTTTGACTCTAGTTTCTAACAAAATAGCTATCTTAGGATCCAACTGATTAAGGGGAAAGACAAACTCATGGCACTTGCCTGAGTAATTAATCATGTCACCTCTGCTTGTGACCTTTTAGGAATTCCAATCCTTAAGGCCCAGTCCAGAACATGATTGAATTGAAGCTGTATGTAAAATGAATTGGAAAAGAACATAGTAGAAAACTCTGTGATATCATTTGCAAACTCTGTGATAATGGTGATTTCATTTGCAATTTCAAATTCAACCCAATTGAAGAATTCATTGAAACTGTATAGAAATTCCACATGTGTTAGTTTAGATCTTTATTTTGAATAGTCCCACATTATTTTAGATGTAGAAAATTAAGGTGTTTATATAGACTAAAAACTTGATAATTGAAACAATTTTGGGCTATGATGGAAAGATTTTTTCATTAAATGGGCTAAAGACCCAAAATTATAATTTCAAAATTTTTCTTAAATAATGATCAAGATATATTTATAAAAAAATTAATTAATTAAAAAATATTAATAAAAATAATTATTTTAATTTAAATTATTTTTAATTATTCAAATTAAATATTATAAAATAAAATATTCATTAAATATGACGTGAATGAACACATATATCATGTCAATAATGAAACTTTAAAACAAAAGGGACCATGAAAATCCCAAAAAAAATAAACTTTAAAGATCAGAAAAACTGATTTTTAAATTGAGAAGATTAAATTTTAAAAAACTTCAAAAAAGAAAGATCAAAAATATATTTAAGCTAATTTAATAACGTTTACTTTACCTTTACAATAAGTATAAATACATTTATAAGTATTAGATATACTATAATTAAATATTCTTCAATTTTTAAATTATACAATTTAGTTAATGTTATTTTATATCAATTTTAAATTCAATATCTTTCACTTTACCTTTATAATAAATGTTAAATACAACAATAATACCAAATATAATATAGCTAAAGTGTTATTCTATTTTTCAATAATACAATTTTATTAAATTATTTGAAATGGTCTATTAGATCTAAGAACATCATACTAGTTGTCATCAAAATTATATATATCCACATAATGTGATCTCTCAAATTTTATATTGGGCAAAAATTTACAACCGAAGAATACTTATCTACTAGTAGTAGATAAAGTATATATTCTTATTCTTATACAATCACCTACACTTTGTGATAGTGAAATTCATTTGGACACATGTGGAGCAACCTACCCTTTGATGTTCTATCCTCCATCTTCTCTTTTCTCTCCCCAGATTCCTTAGCTAGAGCAAGATCATCTTGCAAGAATTGGCACACATGTGGAACTTTCATAACCCAATACAAACCTCATGAGAATCATACACAACCATGGTTCTTAGCACTTCCTATTCGAAATTACCAAAAACCATTTTGCTATGCTCAAAATCCAATCACAAATAATTGGCATGAAATTTCACTAGATTTCATTCCAACCCAAACAACACTTAAACCAGTTGCACCAATAGGAAGCTTTGTCCTTTTTAAGGTAACAAATTCGACAACACTTCAATTGGTTCTTTCTAACCCTTTTACAAGACAATTCAAGTACTTACCTAAGTTGAATGTTTCAAGAACCAATCCAGCTTGTGGAATTGTTACAATTAAGGAGGGAAATGATGTTTGTTACTTTCCTCGTTTTAGAATCTATGTCGCCGGTGGTATGTCCGAGGCTAAACACGGTGGCGCCACCGCGTATGAAACAACCGTGGAAATGTATGATTCATGTGTTGACACGTGGGAGATTGTCGGGTCGGTGGCGGTTGAGTTTTCCGTTAGGCTAACGGTTTGGACACCAAATGAGAATGTGTTTGTGGAAGGAACAGGAACAAGAACAAGAACAACAACGTTGTATTGGATAACCTCGGCTAGGGCTTATAGTGTGATGGGATTTGATGTTGGAGATAATTGTTGGAAGGAATTTGGTGTGCCTCATGCGGATAAGCTTGAGTCTGCCACACTTGTGAGATGGAATGGAGGGTTGGGATTGGTTGGTGGCACGTGTGGGGGGAGTGTTTGTGTTTGGGAGATGAGTGAAGAGGATGATGAGAAGTGGTGTTTGGTTGATGAGATGCCATTTGAATTAGGGTTGAGATTGTTGGGTGGGAAGAGAAATTGGGAGGGTGTTAAGTGTGTGAGTGATGATGATGCTATTTGTTTGTATAGAGAACTTGGAAATGGAATGGTGATTTGTAGAAAAGTTGGGGGGGTTATGGGTAGATGGGAATGGGTTTGGGTTGATGGGTGTGGTTATGTTAAGGGAAAAAAAGTGGTTAATTGTCTTATTAGAGGAGTGCTTGTTCATCCAAGTCTTGCTTGTTCATCTATTTTCTTTTGAATTAGGAACTATCTTGGGGTGTCATTGTTTAAGTGTTTTTTTTTTTGTTAGTGATTGAAATGTCATGATATGTTAATTTTATGTGGAATGTTAGGCCATGGAATGTAAGATATGCGTTGTCTAGAAATAAAAGTTTGATGTTGTATGTATGGTCAAAATTTCCGGTATCACATGATATTTCTTTAAAAAATCGATATTGTTTCAAAGATACCGAACATTAAAAAAAAGTTATAAATTTATACTGAAAATTTTAAAATAATCTACAATAATACTAAAATTTTTAAATAAACCATCGAAAATTTTGTTTACACGTTATGAACCAATTTTATCAAGAACTAGTATTGGCATTAATAAATATGTGAGGGTAACGGATATAAAATATGGGGGTGTAGGTTAAATCCATAGTTATTTGGGCTTAGGAGTTTTGGTTAGATGTATATATACAAGGCCTTGCACATTTTCAACACTAAAAAAAATATTTCCAAAATGTATTAATTTTTTATAAGAGAAAATTTTCACAAAAGTTAAATGCTGTGTTTTTGTTTGATAAAGAGTTTAGGAAATTAAAAAATTTTGGGATTTTTTTTTCTAAAAATTCAATATTTTCACTTTTTCAATGTAAAAAAAAAAAAAAAATCTGAAAAGTGTTGCTATGCTAACTGCCTTATGTTCCCATTTGAAATCTTTGATCTTTGAAATTAAAATTCAAAGTAGCTTCACCTACTAACTATCACAATTACAATGCACCACATAATCAAAGGTTTTAGACTTAACCATAAAGAACAATAAAAATGTCAACTAGTTGGCTATAAGTTTGATAACCAACTTTATAATTATTCAAATCACTTAATAAATATATAATATAACACATGCATCATGACACTCCAAGAACATATCACAAAGATGAAAACCAAATTGAATCCACTTTTCTTAATCACATTTATTATATTAGTAACCTATGTCTCAATTGGAATTGCTCAAGATAACTCTTGCATAAACAAGCTATCACCATGTTTAAACTACCTCAATGGGACTAAAAACCCACCTGATAGTTGCTGTGATCCATTAAAATCCTTGATTAAATCAGATGCAGCATGTTTATGTAGCTTGGCAAGTAACAAAGGTGCAAGACAAGCTGAGAAAGCTGGTATTAATGTTACTGAGGCTCAGAGTTTGCCTGCAAGATGTGGCCAACATGTTAATCCACTGTCTTGTCTCACAAGTATGTTTTCACATTTTGAGTTTGTGAGTTTTTAAGGGTATTAAGTTGTTTTGAAATGATTATATACATGTGTGTTGTTGACTTGTTTCAGATTCTGGTGGTTCCGGGAACTCGGCAGCAAAGTTGATGAACATGTCTTGGCTAGTCATGATGGTTTCAGTTGTGTCATGTGTTATACACATGTTGTTAGGATCGGTCTAGGGACTTATTATTGTAGTGATAATGTGTTGCAGAAAATGTTGAGGTCCAGATTGAATGTTTTAAAATTTTAAGGTTTTTTTTCTTTGTTGTGGCTTACAAGATGTTGAAACTTGAAAACTTGAAAACTTGAAATAGCATGTCTATTAAATGTCATTGTTTGATTATTCATGTTATGATAGTATCAAAAATTCAGCTAGGTTCCTCAAGAGTGTCCTTTTAATGCTTCAATATGTTTATCATCAAGTAGTCTTTCTAAGAACTTTCAACACTTATTTGGAGAATCGCCCAATACTTGTATACATATGATGTATTGATAGCTACTTAATTTGTATGTATAATTAAGTAGAGTGCATTAAGTATAGTGACTTCTTATTAAGTATAGTGACTTTTATATAAAAAGTTGTAAAGTAAACAATTCACAAGTCATATATATATAGTTGAGGTGCCATAAATTCTCATATATATGAAAATGATAAAAATGATTGCATAAGGCTCATAAACGATTAATGATATTGCACAATCGATTATTTGATAATGAAAAGGTAAAAATTTATATAGATACATATCGTAATTGATTATTTAAGGATCGTATTTGACTATAATTAAGTGAATAATTGATTATGCTATGATTCACAATCGATCATGGGACGAGATATTTGACTTGTGACAAAATGACGTAGTTGAAATCACAAAGGATTGACAAGTACTAAGTCTAGAACGAAAATACAAGTTTGCAAACGAAAAATCTATCAGATAAAATTTTGAAATCCACCAAAAGAGAAAATACTTGAATTTTATTATGATCAAAGATAATCTTGACGGTCACACCCAAAGGTGTTTAAATACATAAAAAAAAAATCTTAATGGGCTTTTAATCTAAAACATAAAGAATACAGAAAAAGAAACTATAATGAGCTTTTAATCAAAAACACAAATACAATAGAAAATTGCAAAAAAATCTTAAAAAATTGTATTCGGGTTTGAAACAAATTGAGATGGCTTAAAAGAACCATATGTCACGATGAAGTAGTTAGTTGGACTTGTGAGTCGATTCCCTCTTAAAAAGGTATAATAATAGTCATTCTAATATCGAGCACCAAACCTGCACAATTCCTGCCGAACCTTTCCGACACATAACTTCTTTTTAATACACACAACCAACCTTCCTACATCAATCTCCTCCGCCTCTGAAGAACTTGACCCCGAGTTTTGTTCTTGACAAAGAGCCTCATTTGCGTGATACTCATTGAAAGTATTAGATATATTCATGGAATCCAAGAATCTCTCATATAAGCATTATCATTGATATTTCGGGTCATTTTGAATGAGTCATACATGTGTGGTTGTAGCTTGTTGTAAGTACCAATTGAAAACCTCTCCTTATGCATAAACACCATCACATCGTCTCCCATATTGAAAACTTTAACTTTCTTGCATTTATCTCGCATACGAGGCAAACTGTTTGGTAGTTCATATGCGGTCGGATCCCCAACACTTCTTCTCGAATCGTTGTTTTGTTTACACCATTCATTATCCTTTTAATCACCATTGGACAGAAAAATTCAATTTCTTTAATAGTCTCATTAAGCTCATTTTCATTCCGCGTCATCACTAAGAAACTAAACTTCTTTCCTCTTGAATTCTTATAAAAGTGCAAAATAAGAGTCATAACACCAAATCATGTTCCATACAAAGCATATTAGTTCGTCACTAAGCTATAATTCTAGCGACTACTCTTCCACGGTACAAATTGAGGTACCTTCGTGTCCGAATATCACCATTTAAGTCATCTATCACTACCTAGTTATCATTTACTAATTCACTCACCTATCCATTCTCCTATGTTTTCCGCACTTATTATCATAGGTTTTAATCCATTATTCTTCATTCAATGTAAGCATATTACAACATATATCATAAGGCATACATAATAAAATGAAAGTATATTCCATTCACCACAAATAAACATGCACGTAAGTATCATTAAGTATCATGATCATAAAGATCTTTAAAAAAGATTTCCAACGCATTCGACCGTGCGTTAATCGGGGTTAGGATTCTCGAGTTAAGGTGAAAACAAGACCCAAAGTATTTTTTTCAATGTTGTCAAGTTCGCTTAGCGAGATGGTAGTGAACAGACTTCGCTGAGCGAACCAAGTCAGTAGCAGAGTTCCCCAGACTCCGCTTAGTGAGTTGTAGTAAACGTGCAGTATCAGAACATGTTTGGATGAGGAAAAACACCAAACAACCAATATACATCATCATATTGCATAATACAACAACACCAAAAATATGATTTGACACAACAACAACAATAACATAGTTTCTTCATATATTCTCATAACATCAACACAATCTCCAACACACCAAAACAACATCAAACAACATATAGAGGTTAAGAAATATTACATAGAAGCGTGTAAATCAAGAAGATCATCATGTATTAACAATAACTTCATGATTTAGCAAACACATATAAACCCTAACCTCATTCCCATGAATTTCTTCCCAATTGCTAACACTATCTAGGAACTCACTTCAATCCAATAAGATGATGAAGTTGGTGATTATGATGACTCCATGGATTTCCTCCTCTTCTTCCCTTTTTCCTTTTCTTTCTTCTTTCTTTTCTCTTCTTTTCTTTTCTGCTTGCTTCTCTTTTCTCTTACTGGTTTTTCTATTTTTATCTTCTTCTTATCTACTTCTTCTTTCCTTTTCTTTCCACCACATAATATAATATAGACAATATTAAGTAGTGAGAACAAAATATCTCAATTGATGTTTTGTCTTCTGATACTAATTAACCAATTATTAATATTACCAAAATATTCCCTTTTGTACTTATTAAAAATGGCCAGTCTCTTTTAATAAAGATTGATTTATTTAGAGTCCATTGATTACTCTATTTATCCCAACTAATAACAATTAGAGCACATTGGAGCTCAAATTGTCCTGATTGTTTTGATTATTTTGGTAATAAAATATAGGGAGTGGCAAAACGGGATGTGGCAAGCCAAAACGGCTCGCGCACCCGGGATAAAAATGGCAGCTCGCACGCTTGTCTTCCCGCTCAGCTGTCTCGCTTTATGCCCGACATGCCTTAAGCCCGTCAAAAAAAGGGGTCGGTTGGCCTGCCATCCCGCCAACCTAATTATGAAGCACTCAAAATATTATTTAGCTTGGTTGAAAATTAATACTTGAACTATAGTTTTAGAATACTTGTTAATGATTCTATTTTATATATTTATTTGTGAATATATGCAATACTTATTTAAAGTAAAATTTGTAAAAAGATGCTTTATAAAATATTGTTCTATAAAATAAGTGGAAAATCCAATTGAAATGTAAATATGAACCTATTAATGTATTAAGAAAAATAAAAAAATAAAAAAAATAAAAAGTAAAGAAAAATGTGGGCAAGACTGTCGCCCTCCAACCTGCCACTTTGGCGGGACGAGATATATTTTTAAGCACAATTTCACTTGACTCTCACTTCCTTTTTTAGCAGGCTTAAAACAGGTAAAACTAGGGCTGGCAATGAACCGAACCAACTCGAAAATAGTTCGAAATTCGATTCGACAATTAGATCGTTGAACTAGGTTCATGAACCTAATGAGTTGAGTATGAGCGAAAAATTAAGTTCGTTAACTAAATGAGCTGAACTTGAACTCTACATAGTTCGACTCGTTAGGTTCATGAGTTAACTCGATTACATATGAGAATAATTATACTGTCTTTAAGATTAGGTTTAAATATTTAATCTAAATCTTAGACAAATTTAATCTTCAACTTAGTAGTTTTTGAATTAGACTCTCAAATGTATCTCTTGAAAGTTGTGTAAGTTTTGAATTAGTAGATTTCGAAGATAAAGTTAAATTTCAATATGATAATTTTTATTTTATTTTAATATTTTATTTTAAAAAAAATATATTTATTTAAAATGTCAAATATACTAAAATATATATATATTAAAAAAAATAGTTTTTAAGCCCGTGAATCATGTGAGCTGATCCTAATGAGTTGAACCAAACTGTTCGTGAACTTATAACAAGTCGAGTTTGAACTTAAAAAAAAGTTCGTGTTGAACTCGAACTCGAACTCGAACTCGAAACAATTCATAACGAGTCGAGTTTGAGCTTAAAAAAAAGTTCGTGTTGAACTCGAACTCGAAAAATTCTTAATGAGTCGAGCCGAGCTGAGGTGAGTTCGACTCGACTCGACTCATTTCCAGCCCTAGGTAAAACAGACGACCCGTGTTCCCACTTCTAATAAAATATTTTATTTTTTAAAATAAAAATAGTAAATAATAATGACATTTAAGATGGAAAGATAAACATTGATATAAATTTATTGAATAAATTAGATCATAAATGTAATAGTTACAATTTATCATTATGACGTTAAAATATAATTATATTTTAGAGTACTATTTAGAATATAATAATAATAATAATAATAATAATAATAATAATAATAATAATAATAATAATAATAATAATAATAATAATAATAATAATAATAATAATAATAATAATAATAATAATAATAATAATAATAATAATAATAATAATAATAATAATAATAATAATAATAATAATAATAATAATAATAATAATAATAATAATAATAATAATAATAATAATAATAATAATAATAATAATAATAATAATAATAATAATAATAATAATAATAATAATAATAATAATAATAATAATAATAATAATAATAATAATAATAATAATAATAATAATAATAATAATAATAATAATAATAATAATAATAATAATAATAATAATAATAATAATAATAATAATAATAATAATAATAATAATAATAATAATAATAATAATAATAATAATAATAATAATAATAATAATAATAATAATAATAATAATAATAATAATAATAATAATAATAATAATAATAATAATAATAATAATAATAATAATAATAATAATAATAATAATAATAATAATAATAATAATAATAATAATAATAATAATAATAATAATAATAATAATAATAATAATAATAATAATAATAATAATAATAATAATAATAATAATAATAATAATAATAATAATAATAATAATAATAATAATAATAATAATAATAATAATAATAATAATAATAATAATAATAATAATAATAATAATAATAATAATAATAATAATAATAATAATAATAATAATAATAATAATAATAATAATAATAATAATAATAATAATAATAATAATAATAATAATAATAATAATAATAATAATAATAATAATAATAATAATAATAATAATAATAATAATAATAATAATAATAATAATAATAATAATAATAATAATAATAATAATAATAATAATAATAATAATAATAATAATAATAATAATAATAATAATAATAATAATAATAATAATAATAATAATAATAATAATAATAATAATAATAATAATAATAATAATAATAATAATAATAATAATAATAATAATAATAATAATAATAATAATAATAATAATAATAATAATAATAATAATAATAATAATAATAATAATAATAATAATAATAATAATAATAATAATAATAATAATAATAATAATAATAATAATAATAATAATAATAATAATAATAATAATAATAATAATAATAATAATAATAATAATAATAATAATAATAATAATAATAATAATAATAATAATAATAATAATAATAATAATAATAATAATAATAATAATAATAATAATAATAATAATAATAATAATAATAATAATAATAATAATAATAATAATAATAATAATAATAATAATAATAATAATAATAATAATAATAATAATAATAATAATAATAATAATAATAATAATAATTTTCTGTGTGAAGAGTTTTAGATTAAAGAATGAAACTAGGTATGCAAAATTTCTAAAATCAAAAACAAATTAAATGATAAAAAATAGTATATTATCCATAAGCCATAGCTAATGAAAAAACTTATTAAAATAAAAAATAATTAAAGTGTCAATAGAGTGAACAAAAGATAATAAAATTTGCAAAATGTTTTATCTAGTGAAACAAACACCAGTTTTTTCTGTATACAAGTTGTATAATTTTAAAAATAATTAAGGGTGACATCGAGGATATAAATCTAAATATGAGATATTTTCATGTTATAACAAATAATACGAGTAAAAAAGATTAAGGATTCAAAGGTAAAGAACATATTTTCTTTAGATATGTTAGATTGATTTAATCAATTAAGCGAATGTCAAAAAATTAAATTGCTAAATTAAATTAAATATATTAATTTTGTAATAGAAAAATATTAATAGAAAAATAAAAACAGAATTGTTGTTTAAAGAAAATATACAATATCCACGTAAAATACGGTTGACATAAACAAATATTTAAATAAAAAAAACAAAATAAAATTATGAATAAAATTAAAATGTCTTACCACGTTTAACGTGGAAGATATCTGAATAACAATAATTTTAGAATGGTGGATTTTTAGAAGTTTTTAGATTGATTTAATTGATCAAGAATAAATAGATATTTAGATAACTACTCATTTTGATTAAGTTTATTAATTTTGTAATAGAAGATTGCTAAATAGAAAAATATTGTATGAGTGAGATTTCTCAATAAACTCTATAGAGACGAAAGACTATAAAGTGTATTTTAAAATGTGCCACCTCAAATTTTTATTAACATAGTAAAATTTGGAATACTTTGCACACAAGTGTTCTTTTATAAGCAAAAAAATCCATTATGGAGAGTATGTAGGAATATTCTAACTCAACAATAATATTGTTATAAACCAACAAAGATGAAAAAGAAATTATATGAAAAAGTCTAGTGGTGTCTTGTACCATTCAAAAAAACTACATGTATATGATTTTTTTGGGAAGGCTAAGAGATGGATTTGATGTTAAATTCAATATCTCTAGCATGACAACACTCTTCTTTGAAAATCACGTCGTTTCGCTTGTTCCAAATGCACTAACATGATATCATCCACAAAACACCTTCAATGTTTTTCAACCTTCCCTTTAAAGGCTTACATCACAAGCTTGAAGTCCAAGATACAATTGTGTGATAATGGCCTATTCAACCCAATCCAATCCCAAACAAGCTTCCATATCAGTTTTGTGACAAGGCAAAGTATCATCAAATGATCTAAAGTTTTCACTTCATCATTGCAAAATGTACATTTGGCCAAAGATGCATCTTGAATAATAGATCTTCTAAGAAGCAGATGTCTTGTAGGCGGCCTGTTATGAAATAATCTCCAACAAAATGCCTTCACCTTTGAAGGTGTATTCATCTTCTATAGTTTTCTCAAAATCCATCTCAAATTGTCTTGATTATTCTTCTGCACATCATGGATGGTTAAACTATTATAAGACAATTTGAGAGAAAATTTTTGATGATGTGCAACCTGCCATCGCATTTGATCTAGTTCCATGAAGTTTGGATTTACTTTAGCCAAGATCAGCTTCAACTGTTGGAGCTCTGCTGCATGATTTGGTTCAAGGAATGTCCAACATCCTCCAGCCTCCACTGCCATGTTCCACCAATCCAAACTCCACAATCACTAACCATGGTCAGCTTGTTGTCAACATGACATTACAAGATAGGGAAGGCATCTTTCAAAGTTGAAGAACCAATCCATCTTCCTTTCCAAAAAGGAACTGAATCACCATTTCCAATTTTGAATTTTGCCATGTGTCTTATACTTGTTTCCTCCTCCAAACTAATCTTCAGCTTTTTTCCTATAAGCGTAAAGTCTATCCACCATAAGGATTAGAGAGAGGGTTTACATTTGTCAACATCTAACAAAAGGCTCCTTATGATGCCACCATATCTATGTGATACAATTCCACTCCATATGGCTTTTCTCTCATTGTAAAACCTCCAAATCCACTTGCATAACAAAGCTTCATTGAAGGCTCCAATTTGCTTCACTCCCAAGTCACCATCAACTTTACTTTTGCAGACTATTTTCCAACTGATCTAATTCATACCTTAGCCATCTTTCAATCCCTGCCAGAGAAAATGTCTTTGGATTTTAATGATATTCTTCGTCATAGTTTCTGGAATCTTATAGAAGGAAGTCAGAGGTAGCCATAAAAAATTGTTGAGATAAGCCAATGCCATAAAGTTTGCTTATGTTCGTATTGATCCTTAGGCCACACACCATCTCAAAATCGATTTCATGACCAATAAGTTATTCCAAGATCCATCTCCAATGATAATTATGTCATCTGCAAGCTATAACAGACTGAAGAAAGTTCCATAATTTTTATCATCCATCCTGAATTCACTGAAAAGATTGATATCTACAACCTTCTTCATCATACTAGTCAATCCTTCGGCAACAATGGCCAACAGAAATGGAGAGAGGGGATCACCCTGCCTTAAACCCTTGGAAACTACAAAGTATGATGTTGGACTTCCATTGATAAGATTGGACATACTGTTGTTGAAGACACCATCATCCATCCAACTTAACCATTAGTTTCCAAATCCCATCCTTCCAAACATATATTTCAAAAAGTCCCAACACACATTGTCATAGGCATGAGCAAAATCAACCTTGAATAACATACATTCTTTTTTCCTTCTTTTGGAAAAATCTTTAACCTTATTAGTGACCATCACTCTATCAAGAATTTGTCTTCCAGGTATAAAGCCAGTTTGTGATATGGACACCAATCCTCCAATAATTTTCTTAATTCTGTTAGCCAAGATTTTTGACACTATTTTGTATATGCAACCAATTAGGCATATTGGCCTGAAATCCTCAACCAATTGTGGGTTTTGGATTTTAGATTTTAGGGATGAGTGTCAAGAAAGAATCAGTTATGGATTTTGGGAGGATGACAGTGGAATGAAATTCTTGAATAGCTTCTATGATTTTCTCACCTAAGATATCCCAACAACTTTTTTAGGAATGTGATGTTAAACCCATCAGGCCTAGGGCTTTTCTCACCATCACACTCCCAAATTACACCCTTGATTTCATCCCTTGTGAATTCTTCTTCAAGGTAATGTTTGTCATCATCAGTCAAACTATTAAAGTTTATACCATCCATTGTTGGTCTGGCACCACCTTGTTCAGTGAATCTAAGTTGAAAATGCTATTTAGCAGCTGCTTTCACCAAGGTGACATCCTCCACCCCCACTATTTGTAACCAGGGCCACAATGATATTCTTCATTTTTCTTGCATTCATCATACTATGAATGTATCTTGTGTTTAGATCTCCCTCTTTAATCCATTTTTCCTAGACTTTTGTTTTAGTATGCTTTCTTTAAGGTGCAAGTTACTTCATATCTTTTGATGTACCTCATTTCTTTCCTCAATAATGTTCATGGAAGAGTGAGCATCAATGATACTGTCAATAGTATTAAGTTCCTCCACTGCTAAATCAATCTTGAGATCAATGTGTCCAAAAACATCCTTGTTCCATGTCTTCAAACTGGCCCTTAGAAGTTTGAATTTTTCTTTCAATGTGAAGGCCTTCATTCTTGCTACATGGAAAGAATTCCACTGGTCTTCCACAAAAGTCATGAATTGTTTGTTCTCAAACCAATAGTTGTTTGATCTAAAAGGTATGGGTCCCCAATTTTGTTGACTTCCTTTGATCTATATTGAGCAGTGATTTGAGACATTCCTACTATCAATTTCTTGAGCAACAAGTTTCCAAGAATCAATGATGCCTTCATACACAAGAAATAGATCTAGCATGCTTTTTGCTTTCCCATCTGAACTGAACCAAGTGAATTGAATTCCTACGGTTGGAAGGTCAACTACCTTCATTATATCAATGAATGATGCAAAATCTTCCATCTCAACTCTATTACATCTGTTGCAGATTCCCACCCTTTCATCTTAATGTTTAACTTAATTGAGATCTCCTCCAATTATCCATTCTCCAACTCCTAATTTGTTCTTCCACTCCACAAGCTCACTTCACATTCTTCTCTTAACATCCAAATGACAAGATGAGTAGATGTTCAAGAAGAATATTGTTTACCTTTGTGAACAACTTGGACTCCTAAGTAACCTTTGCCCTTAAGGCTTAGAATTGGGTCTATAATCTCACATTTCCATATAGTCATTATCCTCCAAATTGGCCAATTGCATCTAAGGCTGACCATGACACATCCTCACCCCCACATCTTTCTTATAATGAATTCATGTATACTATGTTTTTTTGTCTCCTGAATAAAGATTAATTCCCACTTTACCTTTCTCTATAATGTGCCTTATTCTTTTTCTTTTAATGACCAAGACACACCCTCTAATATTGATAAATGTAATATTCACGGTGAATTGTCTGAACACTCCTTCCTCGCACTAAGTGTTGATTTGTCGTGTGTGTATATATATATATATATATATATATATATATATATATATATATATATATATATATATATATATATATATATATATATATATATATATATATATATATATATATATATATATCAACCGGGATAAACATGATAGTTTTGTTTGATTTTTTTTAATCTTTGTGTTTTTTTAGCTTATGCCTTCTATAATTTAAATAAAAAGAAACTCAATTAGATAGATCTTGGGGGCATTTTGAATGTTGAATGCATATTACTATGTCAACTTTAACGGCCTACGGTAACCAATTAAAAGTTGATCAATCTTTTATTATGTTAATGATATGATAATGATGATGATTACGACAATGACAACCATTTTATCTTGAATGATTAAAGTTGGTTAACCATTCATTCCTTCACTTCTTCTATCTTAATCATACTTTGCTTTACTAAATTTCAAAAACATTATCAACTACGATTGCTATTTTCATATGTGTTTGTGGACCAAACCAAATTTGCTTAGATAATAATAATTGATGCTTTGTTTGTTTCAAATTTAGTTTGTTGAGTCATTTGACATTATTCATTATAAGTTATAAAATTTATGTTTAAAGAGAATAGCAAATCGTTTAAAGTGTGACGTTTGTCGATATAGTGATAAATATCAATATTAATATACAAGCATGCCAATTTGAGTACTCTACGAAATGAATGAGAAGGACTAGTGATTATATCAATGGTGAAAAAATTACTAGCTCACCATGTTAATTAGTCCACCAGATAGATTAAGATTTTATTATATAAAATGTTAATAATATGTATATTTAATTATAAAAAAATAATGTTTAATTGTGTTACATAATTTTTTTATTCTTATAATTATGAAGTTAGTACCATATCAAAGCTCTATCCATTTTATAGCCTACAAAACTTATGTGTCTTTAATCTCCATCGAAAAATATTTTGATTATACTGAATTTGGGTATAAATAAATTAATTTATATAAACATTAAATTAAATCAAATTATGTTAATTTCATTAAAAAAAAAGTGACGATTTTGAGTTTTAAACGAAATAATTTGAGAGTTTTGGAAGTCATTGAATACATTTATCTTTTTTGAATTTCATGTACTCTTCATTTAAATTTATGGTAGTTGTTACATGCATTACGAATAGCTAGATTCATTAAATTAGGTCTTTTTAGACAAATCTATTTGTACTTGTTGGATCATATGACTGTCTGAGATTAATTGAATTCTTTTATGTTATTGTCATTATTTAATTGTTCTTGATTTCAATATTTTTGTGTATTGGCAAATGCATAAATCGATATCAAATGACTAGGGATTATTGATCGTAAGTCTACCGATCCAATTTAGGGCAATTATTTAACTTTGTAATAAAATATGAATAGGTAATTAGAAATTGTGGGTTTTGAATTAAACCACTTAGAACACCTAATTTAACTCTAAATTGACATAAGAAATTATAAAACTATTGTGTAAATTAGTGAGATGTACACCAAAAAATTGAGTGCAGTGACCTTGTCAATTTCTCATAGGACTTTAACATATTAGTAATTCAGTTAGTACACAACTCATCAACAGGTATAAGTAGGGGAATATACCTCTATTTATAGCCTAAAGGCTAACTCAAAAAGGAAATTTGTTTTGATGCATTTTAAGACAATCTAATCGATTAAAGCCTAATGCTAATTGATTAGAAACTTCAATGGTAATCGATTACCAATTTCAAAAGGGAAGAAAAATATATCTAGATGTTATACATTATTAAGGCATTGTCGTAATCGCTTAGAGTTCAATTTTGAAATGATCTAATCGATTATACAGGAGCTCCAATCAATTAGAGAAGGCAAAATTTTGTCCATAGCAATTCTAACTGCTCTCAATTCATCTAACACAAATTCAAGACATTTTAGAAAATGTTCTCTTGAGAAAAATCAGTTTGACAATAACTTTTAGTGTGTGTCTTTTTTAGTCATTCACTTTTACGAGAATGTCCTTTTTCTTTACAATGCTCACTCAGACTATGGTAGGGTTATCTTGTACTTCAAGATATTGTCATATGCTTTCTTTTAGAAGACATTTGATTGAGTTCTCTTGAGATGAGACTTGAGCATATATTCCAATTGGTTGTCATCATCGGATAACTAAGTCTATCAAACCCTAATACTCAGATTTGCATTTTTATCTGTTTAAATACGTGTGCTTGACTTATTAAATGGATTGTCATCATGAATAAGTTATCATAATAAAAAATATTATCATTTTTAAAGGCATGTCACTTGAAAAACAAGGTTTCACAATGTTGTTATTTATGACATTTCAAAACATAATTTATTTTTCTTCATCGTTAAAGTTTTAAGACATACTTTAACCTTTATGATAAAATTCAAGAGTTCATTTAACATTTAACATATTTAAGATTTATAATTAAATGGGTTGAATATAAGTAAAATAAAAAACATAAGTTCGTCAACTAAATGAGATGATCTTGAATTATATATAGTTCTACTTGTTAGATTTATTAGTCAACTCGATTATATATGAGAATAGTTATATTAGCTCTAAGAGTAGGTTTAAAGACTTACTCCAAATCTTAATAATCTATTTTCTTTTAAACATGGCAGTTTAAATTGATCATTTATATTCTCAAGTAAACAAAATATTTCTAAAAATAATTATACAAATAAAGTCAACGTCATATAAAAAAATTATATACAATTATTAATGATTAACCTTTTTTATTTAATAAAATTCTTATATCAAATAAAAATATCAAGAATTTTTAAAAAAAAGTTAAATTCCAACTTTATATATTTTTCTTTTAAAGCATATTAACTAAAAATGTCAAATATAAATATATAAATAGACTTAAAATATAATTTTTACATTTAGAGAGTAAAATGAGCTGAATTTAATGAAATACATCTAATGAGTTGAACCGAATTATTTATAGAATAAAAAAGAATTGAGCTTAAATTTAAAAAAGAAACAGATTAAATTTGAATCGAATATTAAACTAAATCAATTCTTATCTAATCGAGTCAAGGTGAGACTAATTCGATTCCACTCGATTTATTTTCATCGTAAATCTATCTAATTTTTCTATTAAAATATTGTGTACTAGTTAAAGGGTAATGTTAACTTATATCCTAGAGACACAAATTAAAAAATATATTTATAAAAAAGTTTGTATTAAAAAATCAATAAAAAATTAAACTTTTTATTTTTATTAAAAATAATACATAATTTTTAAAATCTTATTTTTACATTTTGTTCCTAAATTATAACATTACCCTTAGTTTAATCCCAAAATTATAACAAAAAGCTAATACCATATGCCACCAAATTCAATGTAAACATTGAAAACATTATAAAACATAAATCCCAAGAGATGATATGCGTTGACTTGACTGCATCGCCTTGGTTTTGTATATAATAAAGTATAATGATTTGAAAAATTGTGTAGAAAAACATTAATAAAAGGTAAAGTTAAAATAAATAAATTAATGTTATATTGAAAAGATAAAAAAATATTTATTTTAAAACAAAAATTGGGACCGATGGAATAATTCTTTATAAATACTACATTTTTATCAATTTAAGAGTTAAATTTAAATTGATAACTTTAATTAATAGATTAATAAATTTTTAAAAAATTAATTAAGGTAATTTATTAATTTTTAAACTTTTTATTATTATTCTTGTCACATTTAATATATTTTATAAATATTACACTTTATTAATTTAGTAGTCAAATTGATAACTTTATTAGGTAGATTAAATCCATAAGATTTTAAAAACTTATCAAATATTATTTTATTATTTTTAATGTATATTTAATATTTTATTAATTTTTAAATATAAAAAATTATTTTAAAAATATTACAAATTTTTATAGTAATTTTATAATTTTAATTTAATATATTTTTAAATATATAAAATATAAAAATAAATAGAAAAATATTATATTTTCTACCAATTATATCATTTCTTTCATCTTAAATATCATATCACCCTCATCATCTTATCATTTTCTTATCTTCTTTCTTATCATTATATATTTATATGATAATTTTAATTTATATTGGCATAAAACAAATCTACTCTCTAGAAAACATCTTCATAGCTCTCTGTATATAAATACATCTAAGAACAAGAGAGAAAGTTAGAGAGAAAAGGTGATGGCTGGTCTTTCAAGATCTCATGTATCATTCAGAAGATCAGGTTCATCTGGTCTTGTTTGGGACGATAGATTCTTATCCGGAGAATTAAACAAAATCAATCAAGAACAACAACAACAACAACGCAAGAGTAGTTCTAATACTACTGAAGATGATAATAATAACAATAATATCAAAGAGCTTCACGTCGGAACAACCATTCAGAGAAGCCGCTCCGCCGGCGCTGGCCGAGGATACCGAACCAGAAAAGTCCCCCCGCCGGCAATTGATCCACCGTCTCCGAAACTCTCTGCGTGCGGGTTCTGTAGTCCTTTCGCGAAAAAGAGTCAACGATCAAAGCCCGGTACACGCCGATCGAGATAGGTATGGTCGGTTGTATATTGGCTTGAATCGTGTCGAAGCTTTTCCGGTGGCCGAAAAAGGTGTGTAGGATTAGTTGAGTTCATTATAAGGGAAAAAAAACAGAGCAGTGAATTTTGATCTCTCTGTTTTGTGTGTCTTTTCTTCTTTCTATTGAGTTTGGATTAATGGTTGATTGTAATTATTATGCGTATAGTATTTGCTTGATGAGTTTATAACAAGTAAATATAAAAACAGGATTTACTATTTACAAATATTTAACAAATTTTTCAAAATATAGTTAATAGTGTGTATTTTATTGGTTAATAAAGTAGTGAAAGTGCTTAACAAGTGATAAGTAAAATAATTGACTAATGATGTAGATTTTTGTGATTAATAAAACTGTGAAGTTGGTTAATGCCAATCTTATATTTGTCTTATAAAATAAATTTTAAAAATAAATATTTTTTTTAAAATTAATATTTTTTTAAAAAATATATTATTTTAATAAAAAAACAATTTTCACCGTATAAATACAATAACAGTACATACGGTGTAATTATTAAGTATAAAAAATAGTATTTTTCATATAAAAAGTCGACAACTAACGCTGTAGGAAGGTTTTTATTTTTATTTAATAATCATTTTTTTCTTTTTGAATTGTACCTATATTCATTGCAGTTATAATAATGCGAATAAATCAATATATATATATATATATTAAGGACTAATAATAATACAAATAAATATTCTTTAGATGCATAATTTAGCATCAAATCATAGTTTTAACTCAGTATTTATTAAGGGTGTTCGAGTTTTAGTTTAGTTTTATTTTTAGAGAATTCGATGCTTAATCGAATTAAAAATAAAAATTTAACCACTCATCTCATATTTTATATTTGGAATACTATATAATTATTAATTTCAAATTTTATATTGGACAAAACTGAATCATAATATACTAACAAAACTTTTGACAGTCGATTTAAAATTTTCAGTATATATTTATCCTAGTTTTTTTATTTAAATTTCCGGTATTTTGTAAACAAGATTGTGTTTTTTAAAGAAATATTAGGTGATATCAAAAATTATAAACATATGAAATTTTGGTAGTGTAAATTTTCAACGGTTACAATTTTGTTAATATTTTGTACGATTATAACCATTTTGTGTGGTCTATATTAAATTTTGACAAAAAATAAAAAAATTAACTACCAACAATTTCACAATTTTTGATATTCTCCATTTAATATCTATAATTTCAGAATACCCGACAATAAAGTTATGAATTTTCAATAAATGCATTAAAGTTATGATTTTTTTATTGGATAATATAACAAGTTATGAATTTTTGATATAAACTCATTAAAATTATGATTTTTTTAATTGGATAATATATCATTCTTAGTAAAAATAAAGGGACAAAAATTCCAGATTTTTAAATAGGGGGATCAAAAATAAATATAAAAAATGAAAATAGAGAGACTAAAATTATAATTAAACCAAGAATCTTAATTTCCATCAAATTGAACCAAACCGATAAATAACAAGTTTGTTTGTATTGAATTGATCGAATACATTAGAAACAAATATGCAAAAATATTTTTAAAAAAGATCTAATTTACATCAATTAATTTTTTAAAATAATATAACATTCTTAATATTTTGTTTCTCCATATTGGTTGTGAATATCACAAATGACGTTTTATTTTTTCTTGTTGAAGTTAAATACTTTATTCTAATTTCCTTGATGATGATGATATATATTATGATTAGTTCGGATAGACGGGTTTGCAGCTAAAACTTTGAAAATTCGTTGACAAAACTAATTAACATTGGATTTCTTTGGTTTGGTTCGATTTTTGTCTGAACTAAAAAAATGCCCAAAGCAAACACCATGATTTGGTTTAGAATCTGACTTGGATCGGATTTTCCTTAATCAAAGATCACCCATAATTTTTTTTAGTTGTGATATTGAGACACGAATACTGACAACAATAAATATACACCATATAAGTGTTTCCAAATCTCGATTTCAACATTTTTCTTCTTAATTAATCAAACATGTGTACTTTTTTTATAAACAAAAGATGTATTATAGGAAGGACAAAGAATAATCTTAAATTGATGGAACCCGTAAGCGGTAGAATTTGCCTTGAGAATTAGTTCTCCATGAAAATCGTACAAAAGCAAAAGTGAAATTCATGAAAAAGAAGGTAAAAATTACAGTAGCATGACTGCTAGGTATATGAAAGCATCACTAATTTTGATTCTAATCTAACTGAGTTGAAAAACATAAAATACCCGGCTCAAAACTAAATATTCCTTAAGATAGAATTCAGGTCTTGACTTTAATGAATTGTTTGATCCTCTTTCATTCCGAATCAACTCTTTCTTTCAACATGAAACTTGTATCTCTCTGTCTTAGGTTTCCAACGTCTGTTAGAACGCATCAATCCAATTCTTATAGTTCCAGTTATGATTCGAACAGTGGATTTATATCAAATAACCGCTAAAGTTGAAAATAAATTGCGAAAATAGATTAAAGAAAAACAAAGACTTAATTCTAAAAACATAATAAAACAGAAAAATAAACAAAACAAACTAAGAAAATGTTTAAGTACAAATATAATAGAATGTACATTAAAATGCACTGATCACATGCCTTAATGTACTAAGGTTCCAAAAATCATTGAGGTTCTTTGGCTTCCTCCAGCTCGTGGTTGGTTCAAGTTTAATACGAATGACTCTTACTCCAATGATAAAGCTCAAATTCATCTTGTGGCTGATTCTTTGACATCCTCAAAGCTTGTGGTTGGTTCTTTGGCATCACCCTTTAAAAAAAAAACTAATTTCAATGATAAAGCTCAAATTCATCTAATGTAATCTATGGGTGGCCAACATGTACTTATAGTCAAAGCCGAACTCATGTCCATAAATAAGAGCTTTGATATTTTATCACTTGATTAAAAGATCAATTGTAAAATATATATGTTTGGGATTATATATGTTTATTAAAGATCAGTTATAAAATAGTATTTATTATCTTTACCAGATATAATAAGTGAAAGATTTTTTTATAAATTTTTTTAAAAATAAATAATTTTATTAAATATTTTAAAATTATATAATTATAATATTTATATCTTTATTATAACTTTTTAAATTATATAAGTACTAGCGTCCAAACGGGCACTCCGTGTCCGTTTGTCCGCTTTTTTTATTGCGCAACGCGTGAAAATATTAACAATGTCTTATTTTATAAGTTTGATTTTAATATAAATTATTTATATGATAAAATATAAATGTTTACCTGCGTCATAACATAAATGTTTATTTTTATTTAATATGTATTCGCATGAAAATATAAACAGCAGTTTTTGTCCGGTATTTGAGAAAGATCTTTCTATCAATAGATAGGATTTAATGTTCGATATAAGGGAGAGGATACATCTTCTCTCTTTTACTTAGATAAATTTTTTTAAAGTGAAAGCGCCATCCAAATAATGTCGACTTTCCCCTTGTCCATTGATATAAATTCAATAAATCGGATCCAACACAAAAAGTTCTTCCAGATAACAGACTCACTAATCCTTGCAATCCCTGTCCATCCAAACACTTTTCCTCAAATTTTCTCCGCCACCTTACAGTGAAAAAAGAGATGGTTCAAATCTTCTTTCGAATAGAAAATACAAACATAGGTCATCTTCTCGATTGGAATATATCTAGTTTTGGCATCATTAAAAGCTCGACTAAGGTAATATATGACTCTTTCGACACTATTGTCATCTTCTTGGGCTAATAAACTCCCTAGGGTCAAATCTGAGGCCGGAATGTACAGTCTCATGCATCTGTTTCTAACTTACGGTGCCAGGATATGAGGATTTTCTAAATATGGCTTGATTTCGTCGAACATCTTCTGATGCTCAAGTCTCCACACAAACTCTTCCTTCTTCAAACGAAGCAGTGGTGAAAATGTTTGTACTTTGCCGCTAAGGTTCGATATAAACTTTTATAAGAAGTTGATCTTCCCAAAATAATAATATGACAATTGATTTTAATAGGATCCCATAATTTAAAGTAGAGTACAACTCCAAAATTTCATTATACAATATTATACAAAATCAATTTTATTACCGATAAAGAAGTTTAAATTAATGTTATCCTAAAATTTTAAAGAGAAATATATAATATAGTCTCAAATTAAATGTTATCAATAAATTAAATTACATAAGTTTTCATAATGTAACTTAATATATGTGTTAACTTTTATGTTTATTTGCTTAATAAATTTTGAGAAATATTTTTGTTCTTATTCTATCTAAATCTTCTTATGGTTTTGAATAATCTATAGCAATATATAAATACAAAATTTAATTTTGGTCTAACCTAATTTCCTTTTCCATAATACGGTAATCCCAACCATCAAATTATTCCACTCACATTATTTATTTGCTTGAAAAAATTGGTTAAATAAAGTCACGTCACAATACAATTTTATCAATTCAAACAAAATTTAATGCGCGAATATTACATATTGTAAACAAAACTTAATATGTATCTGAATAAAAACAAAAAGTTTCATCATATAAATAGTTTATATTAAAATCAATATAAATAGTTTATAGTAAAATCAAATTTATAAAAAAATATACGTTGTTAATATTTTTGCGTGTTAGCGCAATAAAAAAATAGACAAACGGA